CACTAACGGAAACAGTGATATAGGAAGGATGCCAAGTAGCACAACTGCACAGCACAGCGGGCCAGGCTTTGGGGAAGAAAATGAAAAAATAAGGCATTGAACTAGGAAAACAGGAGCTGGGGAAGCAGAGTGTTATTATTACCTGACATAATATGACTGGGAGCTAGAAAACCATCGTTAGGACTATGCTAAAGCTACCATAGGATTCTACTTTTATTTTTCTAAATTCAAAATAGTGTCAATAGCTTGGTGTTTTTCCTTCAGCTGCCTGTACCCCAGTGCTGGACAGGAGCACAGAGGATCAGGAATGTCATCCCACATCCCAGGCCTGCAGCGCCCAGGTCCTCCAGAGCCCGTCCCAGATGAATTTTGTTCCCTTTATGACACCTGTTAACATTATCCTTCCAAATCTTAATATCCTTTAGATCTCCCTCTTAAACCAAAAACAACCAACCAACCAAAATTTTAAAAATAACAGAAAAAGGTGAAACTCTACAAGTTCTTTCCTGCTGTTACGGTTAAGATCACTCATAGAAAACATTTCTAAAACTGCAATTCCTAAAGTCCAGAAAGCCACACACAGTCACAACCGTTAAATCAGGCTTCAATTAGACAGTTAATCAGAGAACATCTGGACCTAACAGTCAGACTGAGAAAGGCCACATGTTAAATTCAGATAATCGCTTTCATTAGTTATATCAAGGGACCTATTACTAATACGACCACTCAGGCATGATCGTCGCTGGTCAACTGCTCTTTCAGATGAGCTTCAGGTCTGAGAAGCTCAAAGGGCACTTTCATTCAGCCTTTCTTAACTCACCTCCCAAAAGCCTTTCTTCCAATGCGATACACTGTGGTGTTTGAGACTAGAAAAATACAATATAAAGAGCAAATACAATCATATGAAGAACGGGGAAGCCCTGGTAAATACCAAAGGAATTCTGCCACCCAGATGCTTGAGGACAGGAACTGCTGCTCAAAATCCTCAAGCACCATCATCTTCACAAAACTAAGCGTGTTGATTTGACTATGAAAAGAATAATCCAGTGACAAATCTAGATCCCAGGGCTAATTTTAGATTCTAAGTGCGTGCTCTTCAAACTGAGTTTTTTCTAGTTAAATACTTGTGCTTTACGTTTAGCCTGGTCTTCCACAGGAGCGTATGCACCCGTCTCGTGTTCCCCAAGTGCCGTTTGGGCCCGCACACCAAACCTGACCCCATCTGGGCGAGGGGAGGCTCCTCCAAATCCCTCTGCTCCAACAACCGAGCTCCAGCATCTCCTGGAGCCTCTCCCAGAGAAGACGCTCTCGCGGCAGGAGGAACAGCCAGTGTCTCTGGCAGACGAGATGCAGGAGCAGACTGGTCAACAGGTATGTATGGAATTGAGCTCTGAACTCAAACCAAGTCTGTAACGGCTCCCGTAGAGCAGCAGAAGGATCAAAACCAGGCACAAGAACCGGAGCACCTGAACGCTGTGTGACGGGGGACGGTGTTGAGGTCCTGGCAAAGCTCGCCCGAGCTACCAGAAGCAGAACACAGCACCTAGCACATGACACAAGCTTTGCATAATTCAGTTAAAAGTCAGCCAGCAACAAGATACGAGCCCACTGGAAACGGAGCTTCACTGATTCCAGCGCTCACGGGACGATTTGCTGCACTTCCCAGTGAAGTTTTGACTCTTGTGGATTTATTTCTGCTTTCTGGTACCTTTCCAGCAACACAAACAGTGGCAAACCTGCCCCTTCAGCTCACACGTTTTGTATCAAATGAACAGCCTAGTTTGGGGGCAAATCGTGAGTCATCTTAATTAAGCGACTTTCTTTCCACCAACCCCTATTTCTAAAAATGGATTACTCTCTACCATGACATGTGATTCGAGTTCCTAGGGCCGTTTTCTTCATCTTCACTTGTTTCCTGCTGGGGGAGGGAACACACCACAACCCATCTACCCTAGACTAGATTTTATTTCGATGCCAAAGGAATAAGCCTTTCTCTCGCCGTCAAGAAAGTATTTGATACGAATTCAAGATACACACTGTAGAATGAATGAAGAAAAATGCAGCTTTAGAAGCTATGGAAAGGAGCCCATCACCCTGTGCATCCATTCTCCTTCCAGCCTTTGCCTTGTCTGACAGCTTACACCAACGGGTCAGGATATCTCAGTGGTGAATTCTATTTTCTGCTCACTCCAATGCGAGTGAACCAGCTGCACTGTTTGGATCTTTTCAAGGCACTGACAATACCTGACTTTCTGTATTGGCCCCGGGTGCTCTGGGCTACCTGTCGTGCAGGATAGCCCGAGCTGATGTCAACCATTTCCAGGCTGTGGTAACACAACCGCCTGCTGATGTCACCGAACGTGCTTGGCAGCA